CCCCTCGTCTCGACAGGCACCTCACGATGCACCCCACGATGCACGGACAGTCGCGGGGACGCCGATGCCGACGGTTGCGAAGATCATGTAGGGTGCCAATTGCGAACTTTACCCCTACCCCCACGATTTCTGAGGGTGAGGGTGGCGTTCGCTTCGTTCGGGAGCTCCCGAGCGAAGTGAACCCCACCCTTCCCCTCAGAAATCGTGGGGGGTAGGGGCAGGGTTCGCATGTGGCCCTCTATAATATGGGAACGTTCAGGAGAGCTAGCAGACCTCTAGACAACGCAGGGCAGCGAACCTTACCACTGCACATGCCACCTCGGCCGTGTGTGCGTCACGACCTTCGGCCCTGCGCTCTCCTCCCCTCCGCGCTCCACGCTTCCCGCCCGTGCCCAGCTTCCCTTCCAGCGCGCCCCGTCCGCAGCCCGACCAGCGACTGCACCTGCGTCGGCTCGCGTGCGCCCGTTGCGGGAGAAGACAAACTCGAGGGTGGCAGGGCGCATGTGACGCTGAATTGGCAGCTCGCCGAAAGACGCGGGCCTGCGTAAAGATGATGTGCGTCATCGCCCTCACCGAGGGCTCGTTTTCTGATGTGTCATGGTATTGCTTCGGCCTCCTTTTCCGTCCACCTTTTCCTCGGTCACGTGGTGAAGGGCACGTGGCCCACGCACAGCAGTCAACACGCACTGGCCGCTATTGCCGCGGTCGCGAGCTTCGTCACTTGACGTCTGTTTAGGCCCCCCTGCCATTACCATCTCCTCCCCTTCACGTAGCCATACTAGTAGGAAGTGACAGGATGTAGTAGTAGAGCCTACTGACGACCTGCAGTACGACCTCGGGGAGTCGTACTGGCAGGGCAGCTTCGAGCGTGCAAGTATGGGCCGCTCAATCATCCCCAGTCGTACTATAGGTTGGGCGATGTCCCTCCAAACGCCGCGCCGAAGGTCCAACAGCAACAGGACGACAAATGCATGCTTGTGCGCTGCACCCACGCCGTAATGCCGTAATCGAAAATGACCCTCAGCTGCGGGCCCCCTCTGGGTCATCCAGTTCTCCAGTTGATTCCTACTCAGGAGAGCGGATGGAATCTGGCCACGGCCGCGGCCACGGCCACGGCCAAGGCCACGGCCACGGCGCCAAGGCCACGGCGCCAAGGCCACGGCGCCAAGGCCACGGCCATGGGCACGGCCATGGGCACGGCCACGACCACGGCCTGGGGCGTCTCGTTCAGAACATCATCAGCATTTACCTGGTTTGGCCTCTGGTTAGGCCCTGGTTGGCTTGCCTGGGCGGAGCGCCCCGCTTGAGACATCCTCAGAATTTGCCTGGTTTGGGCCATGGTTTGGCTTGGTTTGGGGGCGGTTTCCCTTGGGACGTCCTCGCAATTGCCTGGTTTGCTTTGGTTTCAACTGGTGGTCTCGGCCGCCCCGCGTGTCAGAAGACAGCCTGAAGGCTTGGAACATTGAGGCCTAAGTATGTGATCCAATCCTAGGATGTGTGAGCATTGGGATGCGCTAGTTTCGCACACGGTGGAAAGGGGGAGGGAGGGGCCCCCCTCTTCAACGCACCCTTCGGTCCCCACTTTGTCTGCGCACATGCCTCGGGCCACGATGTGATGACCCCATTCTTGGTGCCCCCCCCGCGAGCACGACCGATACCGATCGCAACCACTTCGGACCGATCGTCGGCCACTTCGGACCGATCGCAACAAGTTGCGATCGGTCCGAAGTGGTTGCGATGTTTTTGGGTCGTTTCAATCAGTTTTCGCTTAAGGAAGAGATCAGAAGAGCGCTTCTGTGCGCACTGAGCTCCCTTAAGCCGCCCAATGGGAATCTGAAAAAGCGTTTGCGATCGGTCCGATCACCGACGGCCGATTATGGTCTCAGTTGGACACACGTAATTGAGCTCGAACGTGGCCATGATCTGTATACGATTCCTATGTGATTCGTATACGATTGAAGCCGAAACTGAGCGAAAACGCCCGGTGTGAAGCAAATTGCATCTCAGGAAGAGGAGGAGGAGGAGGAGGAGGAGGAGGAGGAGGAGGAGGAGGAGGAGGAGGAGGAGGAGGATAGAGGGAGGAGGAAGGGAGAAGGAGGAGGGGAGGAAGCAAAAGCAGGAGCAGGAGAAGCAGGAGCAGGAGGAGGACTGACTGACACACTGGCGGTCCACTTGCTATCTGACTGAGCAACGCAATGACATTACGAAAAAGAAAGCGGAGCCTTGAAGTACAGCAGCTGGACCTGTGTTCGCTTCACTGTGAGCGACTGTCTAGATCGCTCTGCAGGGGAATGCCTCAGGCCCAATCCGAGAGCCTCCGAAAGGGGGAGCCTAGGGGCCTCGGCTGGGCACCGCTTCGCAGCTGAGCTTACAAGCGACGTCCAGAAATCACTTGCATGCGTCATATGAACGAACACGAAAGAAGCGTACAACAGAAATGACAGATCGTGCACACACGTAAGTAGGATACACTCGCACACGCAGAAAGCGGGCTCAGAAAGAAACATGACCCAAGTGTGCCCACACAGTCTCACCTCATGGAGCAGGAGGAGGAGGAGGAGGAGGAGGAAAACGAGGGGGACAGGATGGCAAGGTGGGAAGACGCGGCGGCCCAGACCCCCAACGTCATTACTTTTCCGGAACGTCCACTCCCCCAAGAGGTCTGGACGAATTCCGTTACGGTAGGTTCGTGCGGCGTCGGCATTCGCAAGTTTTGTGGCACCGCGTCGATCGTTCAAATTTGAATCGATCGCGGCCCCGATCGTTCGAGGTTGAATTTCGTCGGGTGCAGTGGCCTCACCGTGTCCCTCGGTGCTTCTGCGTCGCAGAATGCAGCCTTGAACGCCTTCGCCAACGTCGCCGGCGTGCCAACGCCGCAAGAACCTACAGTAGACCAGCATTGCATACTGAGTCACTTTTGGACGGCCCCTGGGCCCGGCAAGGGCCCCCGAAGCCCGAAACGAAAACAGATGTTGTCACGACGCCAGGCGGTCTGGGAGTAAGTAGCAGGGCTCAGCCAGCGGGAGTCGGCGCGGGCCCGGACACGACGAGGAGATGCTGCATGTGCCGCCTTTTGCAGTCAGCGCCGCGCGCCGCGGTGGCGGCCAGCGGGATCGTGACGCGCGTTGCGATCCGAGCTGGACTCAGAAGCCTCTCAAAAGCCTCTCACAAGCCTCTCAGAAGCCTCCTCACAAACCTTTCAGAAGCTTCGCAGAAACCTCAGAGAACCACCCCCCAATCTGGGCGCGAAGCCTTTGATAAGCCTTTTGAGAGAAGCCTCTCAGAGGCCTCAGAGAAGCTTATCTGAGGCCTCAAAGAAGCCTATCAGAGAAGGCTCTCAGAGGCCTTAGGCCTCAGAGAAGCCTCTGAGAGGCTTCGCTGAGGCCTGTCAGAGGCCGCAGAGAAGCCTCTCAGAGAAGCTTCTGAAGGGCCTCAGAGAAGCCTCTAAAAGGCTTCAGACAAGCTTCTCAAAGGCTTCAGAGAAGCTTCTGAAAGCCTTTGAAAAAAGGCTTCAAAGAAGCTTCTGAAAGGCCTCTCAGAGAAGCCTCTGAAAAGGCCTCAAAGAAGCTTGTGAAAGGCTTCAGAGAAGCCTCTCAGAGAAGTCTCTGAAAGGCCTCAAAGAAGCCGGTGAAAGGCTTCAGAGAAGCTTGTGAAAGGTTTCACAGAAGCTTCTGCAAAAAAAAGGCCTCAGAGAAGCCTCTGAAAGGCTTCAGAGAAGCCTTTGAAAAAGGCTTCAAAGAAGCTTCTGAAAGGCCTCTCAGAGAAGCCTCTGAAAGGCTTCAGAGAAGCCTCTGAAAAAGGCCTCAAAGAAGCTTGTGAAAGGCCTCAGAGAAACCTCTCAGAGAAGCCTCTGAAAGGCCTCAAAGAAGCTTGTGAAAGGCTTCAGAGAAGCTTGTGAAAGGCTCCACAGAAGCTTCTGAAAAAAAGGCCTCGGAGAAGCTTCTGAAAGGCTTCAGAGAAGCCTTTGAAAAAAGGCTTCAAAGAAGCTTCAACGAAGCTTCTGAACAAAAGGCTTCAGGTAATCCTCTGACAAACATGCTTCCGAGAAGCTTCTAAAAAGGCTTCAGAGGAGCCTCTGAAAGACCTCGGAGAAGCTTCTGAAAAAAAGGCTTTAGAGAAGCCTCAGAAAGCCTCTCAGAGAAGCCTCTGAAAAGGCTTCAGAGAAGCCTCTGAAAGGCCTCGGTGAAGCCTTCAGAGGCCTCGGAGAAACTTCTGAAACAAAGTCTTTAGAGAAGCCTCAGAAAGGCCTCGCTGAGGCTTGTCAGAGGCTTCAGAGAAGCCTCTCAGAGAAGCCTCTGAAAAGGCTTCTGAGAAGCCTCTGAAAGGCTTCAGAGAAGCCTCTGAAAGGCCTCGGTGAAGCCTCTCAGAGGCCTCGCTGAGGCCTCCCAGAGGCCTCTCAGAGGCCTCTCAGAGGCCTAGCTGAGGCCTCCCAGAGGCCTCGCTGAGAGCTCTGCAGAAGCTCGCGATCGACGTGTGGACGTTTTGCTGCTCGCCCCTTCTGCACGCGCGAGCTTGCGATCGACGCGTGGCGTTGTGCTGCTCGCTTTCTGGCGGCCTCTCTCTGCCTGGCCCTCTCGTCCTCCTCGCCTCGATCGTCGGGCAGCCCAGGCGCTGAGATGGGTGCCGCTTCGGGTTCCCGGGGGGGCTGGACTGCGGATCGCCCCACAGACCCAGGCAAGGTATCCTACACACATATATATATATAATGCATGTATACACATATGTTTAGCTATATATACATTATATACATATGTATATGCATATGCATATATATATATATACAGATATACATATATATATATATATATATAATATATATATATATATATATTCGTGGCTGAGGCTCGCCGTTCCAGGAAATCCCCCTTTTCGCTCCTTCTTCCGCGCTGCCTGTGGTAGCGCACGATGGACGCATCTGCCCCCTCCCCACCCACCTCTCCCAACCCCCGCCAACTTCTCTCCTGATCACCGTCGCAGTCGTCGTCCTCGTCGCCGCTGCGAGCCGTTTCAGCTCAAGTCGCTTTCGTTCAACCCGCACCTTGCATTGCAAATCGTATTGTACATACGCCCACATCGGGCGAGGCTCGCGTACGACAAAATGTGCGGTGGTGGCGTGATGACGATGCTTGCCGCCGGGGCGCTCGTACTGGCGCTGGCGCAGACCGCCAGTGCCCTCGGCACCCACGCGGCGAAGAGGCACGGGCGCCGCGCGGTGTCCTACGGCCAGATGTACCGCCACGACGGCTGCGCGCCGCTTGACAACAGGGGCACCCACTTCACGGTCGACGTGGAGGTCGGCACTCCGGGCCAGCGGTTCTCCGTGGTGGCGGACACGGGCAGCAACACGCTCATCGTCCCGTCGTGCGTGTGCCGGGAGAGGGGGCAGTGCCCACGGGACGGCTCCGAGCACTGCTTCACCGGCACCGGCCGGTCTTCCTCCTTCCAGCTGGAGAGGGACGCGTCGGGGCCGAGCAGCCTCGTGCTGACCTTCGGCAGCGGCCAGATCAAGGGCATCGTCGCCAAGGAGCGCGTGAAGGTCGGCCAGGTGGAGGCCTTCCTAGACGACGGGCTGCTCCTGATGACCGACCGGGCCCTCAACATCCAGGGCGCCTTCGAGGGCATCCTCGGGCTGGGCGTGCCGCAGACCCCGGAGGGCGAGCAGCAGCAGCAGGAGGCAGGGCCCGCGGGCTACGCCGACCGCATGGCCGAGGCCGCGGCCAGGGCCGGCGGCGAGCAGCCGCCCGGCGACCACCAGCGGATGCCGGCGAACCTGCAGGACATCATCCAGAAGATCATGGGGCAGGCGCAGGGGGGTCGCCGAGCGCGTCCCACGACTCGCAGAGTGCCTGCTCGCAGACGCCCGAAACATAGTCTGTTTCCTCGGCGTGATGTATCGTACAGTCAACCCGCATAGAAAGGATGGGCAACTTTCCCAAAGGTACCCTTGCATCCTTGCCCCTTCTGCCCACCCTTGGCGACGTTCGCTGGCCAACCTCGTCCGAAAAACGTCAACATCGCCTTTGAAGGCCCTCGCATCCTTGCCGCGCATCCCTACTGTGCGGGTTGACTGTAGATCCCCCGCGGCGGATCCAGGCCCGTTGCGAGTAGTTACTCTGCGATGCGAGTCGTAGAACGCGCTCCTCCAGGCGGCCGGGCGGCTGCCGGCGGGGGAGGCGCAGCCCGCTCTCCAGCCGCGCGCCGTGGAGATCATCCCGCTGCCGCGCGGCGTGTCGCCGGAGGACTACATGCGGCAGGCCGCCGGGAGCTTGGAGTCGGAGGGGGGAGGTCGGCGGCGACGATAGGGGCGAATAGCCCGGGGGCGGGCAGTGCTCGTATTCGCCCGGGAGCCTTTTCGAAGACATACATCCTCCTCATCCTCCTCCTCCTCCTCCTCCTCCACGTCCTGCTCCTCCTCCTCCTCCTCCTCCTCCTCCTCCTCCTCCTCCTCCTCCTCTTACTCCTCCTCGTCCTTCTCTTCGCCTCCTCATCCCCTGAGCTATTCGCCCCTGTCGTCGCCCCTGAGGAGAGGTGCCCACACCGCTGCCCCGTCCTCGTTGTCCCCCCCTCTTGGGTTGAGTCGGGCCTGTCCCTGCACGGAGGAATATTCAGAGATAGTCAAAAAATAGTCAGGGGATGAATGTTTGACTATTTTTGACCATTTGGAGGGCATGTTGTGAGTATTTGTAGTTTTTCGCCGAAAATCCCCCTGTAGGGGGACACGCCCGACTAAACTCGTGGGGCCTCCTGGGAGGCCCTCGTCGCCACCGCTGGATTCGCCTGGGAGTCCTGGTCAGAGCGCGCCCCGGGATAGGTCCGGGGAGTAGCGGTATCGGTATTTTTGTTGGCTTCCCCGTTGAGGCAGGGGGTCCATGCAAACGGGGCTCAGCCAGAGCGCCAGATCTTGCAATCTGGCAGAGCCAGGGTTGCATGGACCCCAGCCTGCGCGCAGGATCCTGCAGGACTTCGCAGGATCTTGCAACCCCCGACTGACCCGGGTCTGGATCGACCCGGGTCGGTGCGTCCCCGAGGTCGTCGGCGCGATGAACATCAGCGGCGGCGGCATGGTGAGCGCCAGCATCGGCAGCGCGCTGGTGGCGTCGGCAGACTCGCTGGCGTCGGCCGCGGCGCGGGGCGCACTCGCGGGGCAGAACCCGCTCGAGGACCTGCTGAAGAAGATCATCGCGAGCCAGGGAGGCGCGGTCCCGCTGGGCGCCGGGCCGCCGCAGAGGTCCTCCCCGAAGGGCTTCCTCGAGCAGGCCAAGGTCGATCGCTTCTCGGTCTGCTTCAACGACGGCTCCGGCGGCGTCCTGAGCCTCGGCGGAGAGATGCCCAAGGTTGTGATGTTCCAACCTACTTCGGCCTTGATCACCAGAAAGGATTTCGAGCACCAGAACAAAAAGGCCGAAACTCGAGGATTTCCACGTGTCGGGCCCTGGGAGACACTCACCCGACACTCTTTTGACACTGTTCCGGGTTCTCGAAATCATTTCTGGGATGCGGTCCTTAAGTAGGACTGGAACAACATAAGCCTAAGGCCTCACACGGCGGTATCGGCAAGCAGCACTGGGGCGTGGACTTCCGCGGGATCTCGGTGGGCAACGAGACCCTGCCGTCCCAGGCGCTCTTCTGCACGCCCGAGACGACGAACATGACCGAGGAGCAGAGGACCCCATGCGGCGCCATCCCCGATTCTGGCACCACTGCGATCATGGGCCCTGCGGACCAGGTGCTGAAGCTCATGGAGGGTATCTGCGACGGCTGGGACCGGTGCAGGAAGAACTACACCGCCATGGTGGACGCGATCACGGCAGCGGAGAACGACATGAAGCAAATCTACGGCTTCAACCCGTTCAGCCTCAGGAGCACGGTCAAAAAGACTGACATCCTTCAGGCCGTGCTGGCGGACTGCGAGTTGTGGATGGACGAGAAGGCCGGGCTCAGCGAGCTCCCGCCCCTTCACTTCCACGTGCAGGGCAGCAACGGCACGAAGCAGACGCTGACCATTCCCGGCCACTTGTACATCATGGAGACGCCCAGGGAGCTTCTGCAGCAGCGGGCTGGCAGCGCGCAGCAGCAGCCCACGTACGTGCAGCTCGGCGAGGCGGGGATCAGCGCCCTGGCCCTCGACGGCATCCCAGCCACGGAGATGGTCCCCGAGATCAACAGTCGGGGCAACATCTCGGGCAAGGTGTGCACTCCCGCCTTCGGGGCGATGGAGTACCAGACGCGGACCAACGGCCCCGTCTGGATCTTCGGCACGCCCCTGTTCTACCAGTACGTCGTGGGCTACGACGTCAGCACGGACCCGCCGTCCATCGCCTTCTCCGACCAGGGCGAGACCCCCTGCGGCGCCTGCGACCCCGCCGTGCGGCTCTGGGCTCGTCCCGCCGAGCAGGACCTCGAGGACGAAGGCTTGGCTGCGGGCGAGGGGGGGGAAGTGAGAAGGACAAGGCCTCCTCCTCCTTCTCCCTCCTCCTCCTCCTCCCTCCTCCTCCTCCTCCTCCTCCTCCTCCTCCTCCTCCTCCTCCTCCCTCCTGTCTCCTCCTCCTCCTCCTCCTCCTCCTCCTCCTCCTCCTCCTCCTCCTCCTCCCTCCCTCCTCCCTCCTCCCTCCTCCCTCCTCCCTCTTCCCTCCTCCCTCCTCCCTCCTCCCTCCTCCCTCCTCCCTCCTCCTTCCTCCCTCCTCCCTCCCTCCCTCCCTCCCTCCCTCCTCCCTCCTCTCTCCTCCCTCCCGGATAGTTCGGGTTAAGTCGGAGGGATTTCTTGCTCTGCACTTGCTCACTTGGTGCCCGTGCGGATGACTTTTTTAAGCGCTGTGCTAGCTGCGGCGCCGCCCTTACGTGACAGCCAGGTCCTTCTCCCGTCTCCCTCCTCCTCCTCCTCCTCCTCCTCCTCCTCCTCCTCCTCCTCCTCCTCCTCCTCCTCCCTCCTCCCTACTCCCCCGCCTCCTCCTCCTCCTCCTACTCCTCCTCCTCTTCCTCCTGCTGGTTGGGGGGGGTTCGGAGTCCAAGAAGGCCCAGAAGAGAGAAGGAAGTGTCTCCAGGGCCGCTACGGACCCACCTGCACGTGCAATTTTGTCCCTGGCAGATGTCCTGCAAGCGTTTGGGCTCAACGAAGTTGAAGCCGCTGAATTGGGACGGAAGCTGAAGGAGCGTGACCCAGACAACGATCTGGAAGAGGAACTTGGCGGCTAGATACCCAGGGGGGGCCCTGTCGCTGGCCCCTGGCAGGTCTTCGGCTGTCCTGCCAGGGTGACAAAAAGTTCCCCTCGGATGGGCCCCTGGGTTTGCTTTTTGGACCGTCTGACTTTCTCTCCCCCCTTTCCCCTCACTGGCGTGCGATCCTCCTCTTCCTCCTCCTCCTCCTCCTCGAGGACGAAGGCTCGGCGGAGGGCGAGGGGGGGAAGTGAGAGGGAGAAGGACTTCTCCGAAGGCGGCGGGACTCCTTAGAAGCCCTCGCGCCTTCCGACAGGTTTCCTGTGTTTCGGGGAACGCTCAAAAAAAACTCCACAGAAGGCCAGGGGGGCTTCCGAGCCTTCTGAGAAGGCCCGCCCCTTCTCGGACGATTGGTGGCTTTTCGATCACAACTCGGGTCTCTGGCGGCCGTTCGGGACGATCCCGGCACCCCTGGAACGATCTCGGCGAGGCGTAGCTGCCGGAGCTCGCCCCGAGGCTGGAAGGCCGCCGAGAACCGACGACGACGACCGACGACCTCGCACCCTCGGACCCGAGACCCCCGAGGCTTCCCCCCGGGGAGCGCGCCGCCGATGCCTGCCTCGCTCGCCGCCGCCAGGCGCCTGGGAGCAGGCGCTGCCCGAGCAGCGCGAGCTGCACAGGCCCCTCCGCGTCGACGCCCCGCCGCGGCTGCCGCGCCTCGACACCTCGCAGCCGCTCTGAGGGGCGCCGCGGCCGGCCGCGACGCGGCGCCGCCTCTGGCCGGCGGTCCGCAGGGCCAACCCCCTCCTCCTGCTCCTCCATCCTCCTCCCCCTCCTCCCTCCTCCTCCGCCTCCCTCCTCCTCCCTCCTCCTCCTCCTCCTCCTCCTCCTCCTCCTCCTCCCTCCTCCTCCTCCTCCTCCTCCTCCTCCTCCCCTCCCCCTCTTCCTCCTCCTCCTCCTCCTCCTCCTCCTCCTCCTCCTCCTCCTCCTCCTCCTCCTCCTCCTTCTCCTGCACGATGCCTGGATAGCGCTGCGCCGCTGCACTGCCCCTCCGCCCCGTGAACATCGCCATGGGGGAAACGGGCCTTGAGGAAAGCGGGTCCTGATCGGACGGGGCAAGGACGAGGATAAATCCGTTTCAGAGCGTTCTGGAACGCCCTCAGAGCGTTCTGGAAGATTCCGAGAAGGCCGCGGCGCCCGATACATCCTCCAGAGCCGTTGGATTTCAGAGATTCCCGATTTATCCTCAACCGAGTATGTCTTCGTCCTAGCTCCGTCTTACTGGAGATTTTTCCTCGTTTTTGGCTTCCCGGGGACCTCCACGAGCCCCGGGACTGTTGGAAAACGGCGCAGGATGACGAAGCGGCCCCGGGGAAAGGCCCCCGGATCCAGGACCCCTTTCCCTCTGGACCCGTTTCCACCATGCTGAGAACAGCATTTCAGCACCCGTGTTTGTTTTTTTGCGTTGCCCGTCAGGCCCCGTACAACGCGCTTATGGCTTCCTTCGGCAGAAGGCCGAAGGAACGTGGCGATATCTTTGAGCGAGCTCTGAGCAGAGTAGTGCCGTGGATGTGCGGCGCGCACCACCATTTAATTGCGTTCCCGTCCACGCAGAGACCGAGAGACCCAGGCGAGCCAAGGTACGTATTGCCATCGCGGTCGTCGACGCCGTCGAGCCCGTCGTCGTCGTCATCGTCGTCGTCGTCGTCCTCGTCGTCGTCGTCGTCGTCCTCGTCGTCGTCAGTCGTAGTCCCCATCGCCGCCGCCGTCGTCCTCATTGTCGCTTTCGTTGTCGCCGCCGCTCCCCCCGGGGCCCGGTCCAGGGGGAGGCACCGCCGCGCCCGCGAAGCGGCCCCTCCGCGCGGGGCCCTCGCGCGATGCCCCCCGGCGGCATGATGCCCCCCATGGAGAGGCCCGCCGGCGCCCTCGTGGGGCAGCCGTATCGGGAGCCTCGAGACGGGGGTCAATGCAGACGTCTTCCGTCTTCGTCTCCTCCCCTCTCTTTCCCTCCCCCCTTGTGTTCGTGCACGCGTGCCTGCACGTAACCCACGCCCACGGCATCGATCGACGGCGCCGCCGGCGTCGGCGGCGCCCCCCCAGGTCGGGAGCCAAGAGACGGGGGTCCCTGCAAACGGGGGTCAGCCAGAGCGCGCGATCTTGCAGGATCCTGCAGGGCCAGAGTCGCATGGACCCGGGCTTGGGTGCAGGATCCTGCAGGATGGTGCAGGATGTTTTCGCATTGACCCGGGTTTTGGGCGCAGGACCTTGCAGGATCCTGCAAGGCCCGACTGACCCGGGTCTGGATTGACCCGGGTCAGAAGATCCCCGATCGTAGGGGCGGTCGTCCCGGCTGTCGTCGGGGCCCTCGCTGTGCTGGTCGGCGTCGCCGTGCTCGCCGTCGTGGTGGTGGCGGTTGTGTTTGTGGTGGTGGTGGTGATCGTTGTCGTGCTGGTCGGTGTCGCCTTGCTCGCCGTCGTGGTGGCGGTTGTGGTTGTAGTGGTGGTCGTTGTCTTCGTGGTGGTGGCCGCCATCAACATCATCATGATGATGATGATGATGATGATGATGATCATCATCATCATCATCAGCAGCAGCATCAACATCAGCCCATCACCATCCACATCATCAGCATTAGCATCAGACTCATCATCACCATCATCATCACATTCATCAACCTCATCATCATCATCAACATCATCAGCATCATCAGCATCATCTTCATCTTCATCTTCATTTTCATCTTCATCATTGCCATCATCATCAACATCTCAATCATCATCAAAGTCATCCTCATCACCATCACAATCACCATCACCACCACCATTTCCACCTTCATCATCCTCGTCACCATCGCCATAATCGACACATCATCCTCATCAGTATCATCATCGTCAGACCAACCTCCTCATCACCGATATCATCATCAGCATCATCATCAGCATTAGCATCGTCATCCTCAACAGCATCCTCAGCAGCATTATCGTCCTCCTCCTCTCATCATCATCATCATCATCATCATCATCATCATCATCATCATCATCATCATTCTCAACATCAGCATCAACATCCTCCTCACCAGCAACATCAGCATCATATCATCATGCTCATCATCAGCATCAGCATCAGCATCGACATCATCAGCAGTAGCAACATCAGCAACATATAATCAGCATCAGCATCATAATAATCATCGTCATCAACATCATCATCGTCGGCAACAGCATCAACATCATCATCATCACCATCATTATCTTCATCAGTATCATCATCATCATCGTCATCATCATCATCATTATCAGCATCATCATCGGCATCATCGTCGTCATCATCAACAGCATCATCAGTATCATCATCATCATAATCATCATCATCACCACCATCACCATCACCATCACCATCACCATCACCATCACCATCACCATCATCATCATCATCATCATCATCATCATCATCATCATCATCATCATCATCATCATCATCATCATCATCATCATCATCATCATCATCATCAATCAATCATCATCATCATCATCATCAGAGGAGGAGGAGGAGAAGGAGGAGGAGGAGGAGGGAATGGAATTGGGAATGGGAATGGGAAGGGGAATGGATCGTTGAGCTCGCTCCCTCGCGTCCGTGAGAGGGAGGCTAGGCCTGGGGCGCCCCGCCACCAGAGACCACCACGCCCTCCCTCCCCACGACTTGGGCCCGGAGGGCCAAGCCGAGCAGGAGTGAAGGGATGGCGTTTCCAGGCCAGCCTCCCTTGGAGGCCTCGCCGAGGCCGATCAAATTTCTAAGTGCTTCGCGTATCCCCACCAGCGAAGGAGGAACCGGCCACCTGCGAAGGAGGAAGCGGAGGAGGAAGGAGGAAGGAGGAAGCGGACACCTGGAAGCGGCCATCTAAATGCCCCTGCGAAGGAGGAAGCGGCCACTTGGACGCCGTACGCAACGGCCCGCTCCCGGGAGGACATGGAAAAAATCCGTGACAACAGGAAACTAAGAGGGACAGGGAGCAAGCCAGACTGCCGTCAGGAGTCTATCCCTGAGCTCGCAGCGTCAGTGCGCAAGACCCGCCCGGCGCCCAGCCCCGGGCAGGACAGCAGCCCAGAGAGACGGCCTCGCCCACAGGCAGATCCACTCCCACCTCCACATCAAGACGACCCCCTGGGAGGGCTTCCCATGTACATGAGGTCCATCGACGATGCCGACATCCAGAGGGACGAGCCAGCCCAAGAGAAGGTCATCAGACTGCAGAAGACACCCGGAGGCGCATTCAACGGGGCGTGGACAGGTTGGGTCCGCAGGGCAGGCAGCCTGCAAGGTCTGCCTTGGGTCAGCACCATTCGGACCCCAAGAGGAACACAATGGAGTTTTGCGAAGAATTTCTGCGGGCGTGGGAAGCAGCGGGCTACGACGCCTACAAGATGGTGAGGGGCCACCAGCTCCGGGTGGAATGGCAAAAGGTCATTGAGAAGTATCGTAGCTTACTACAGCGCAGCGCAAGGACCAGCGCACCCAAGGGGCAAGATAGCGAGGGCCACCCATACCCTTGGGCCGACAGCAGCAGGACAGTACCCACCCCTCCGGTCCCACCTGACAGGACAAGCCACCGCGAGCAGACCCCGTCCTCTAGCACACACACATCGGGGCTGTGCAGCAGCACCCGTGGAGCAAGCCCAGAGCTGACACAGCCGCCCCGCCAGCGCACACCGACTACAGGGAGACCACCTGGTCGGGAGCATCCAGCTCTGGAGCCCCATGGCGTCCAAGGCCGCGCTGGGAAGGGTGGGGCCGCCAGGAGAGTTCATGGAGAGGCGCTGCGTGGGGAAGCAGGGAAAAGAGGACCGCCCCGAAAAGTAACGAACAATACGTTGACAAGCGACAGCGAGGAAGGGAACTCGCACGCTGGTAGCCCGGCAGCTGGCCTGACAGGGGCCCCCTGCCCAGGGCAGGGCCGACACAACCCGGAGCCCCCAAGGCGCACGGCCTTGGGCTCCCGGGACAACGTGTGACCCCCTTCACGGAAGGCTAGCCGCGCCCGTATACCGTGGGTTTGTCCTCCCCCTGGGACGGTCCCACCTCGGAACAAGTCCTGCGGCTCCGGCCGCTCTCCCCCGCCTCTTGTTTCGCTTTCAACTCCCGCGGCTATCGGCTGCATCTCCCCGTTCCTCGTCGCCCTTTCCTATCAGTTGTCCAGCGGCTATCGGCCGCTACCCCCCTTCCTCGTCGCCACTGCTTCTACACTCAAGAGCAGCGGATATCGGCTGCTATCCCCCTTCCTCGTCGCCACAGCACGGTGCCCGAAGGGGAGCGGCTATCGCAGGGCCCACCGCCCACCGGCAAGAACAGTCGCGGCGGGCCCCATGGCCGCTGGGTTCCCACTAAGCGGCCACACTTGTCGGCACAGCCAGCGGCAGGGCGTGCTTCACCGCAGCGGCGGGCCACGGGGGCAGCCTGGTGTTACCTCCTGGGGTTGAGGTACACCCCCCACCACCGCGATAGACACCCACGTACTCGTGGGCCTTTAGCCCGTGCGGCCGGCTGAAATAATCCCGCCGTCGGTTTGGGCCGCGTTGACGGCCCGTGGAGCACCGGGCAGACTCGCTGAAGGCGTTTCCCCACCGCTTCTCGGCGCGATTCACCCAGTCACTTTGCCCGTGCCGTGTGCGGGCCGGGACGCATCGGACGCTGGCTGCAGCCCCTCCAAGTGCCCCATCCTTTGGAGTCCAGCAGCGCGCAGTGGCTTCCACGTCGTCGCTCGCAGGAGCGACTACCACTTTTGACCCCCGTACACATGGGCGTGTAGCCCGTGCGGTCGGCCGATGTATGCTTACCCACGGTTTTGGCCGCCCGCGGCG